TATGATACTATACATGAAGTCATCCACCCCCGGACGTTTCCGCCATCCTTGGTTTGGGGGTGTGACAGTCCAAATGGATCTGGATTTGGATCCTTTTAATTCACTGCTTTGTGATTTGGAGGCCATCTTTCTTGGAGAATTCAAAAAAGCTTATGATGAGGAGGAGCGATTTCTGAAACAGAAAGCTAAAATTCATTGGTTAAAAGAGGGTGATAGCAATTCAAAATTTTTTCATAGAATTGTTAAAGGGAAAGTTCATAAAAATAGAATTGAAGCTGTCATGAATCGGGAGGGGGAGTGGCTGGAAGGTGAAGCTGTTTACAAAGAATTTGTTGAATATTTTCAAGATTTTCTTGGCAAAGATGTTCCCTGTGAAGAGATTGTGATGCCGAATTCTTTATTTGTCAAAAAACTTGACCTTGCCCAAGCTGTGGAGATGGTTCAGATTGTTTCTAATGAAGAGATTAAAGCTGACCTTTTTGATATAGATGACGATAAAGCCCCTGGTCCGGATGGTTATTCGGCCAAAATTTTCAAATCAATGTGGTCTATTATCGGTGAGGATTTTGTCAAGCGGTGAAAGAATTTTTTGCTAGTGGAAAGATTCTCAAAGAAGTTAATGCCACAGTCATCGCCTTAGTTCCTAAAATTGACTCTCCTGGTTTGGTGAGTGATTTCAGGCCCATTTCTTGTTGCTCTGTTATTTACAAGTGCATCAGTAAAGTGATTGTTGGAAGAATTAGAAAGCATTTGGGCTCCATTGTTGCTGATAACCAATCAACCTTTATCCTTGGGAGATCTATAACTGATAATATTCTTCTTTCTCAAGAGCTGGTCCGGGGGTATCACAGAAGCTGTGGGTATTCTAGATGTGTGCTTAAAGTGGATATTCAGAAGGCGTATGACACTGTTAATTGGTCTTTCCTTCAGAATATTCTTTTTCACTTTGGGTTTCACCCGACTTTGATCAAGTGGATTATGCAGTGTTTTAGCACTCCTTCTTATATGATAAGCATGAATGGCACTTTTCATGGTTTTTTTGAAGGCAAAAGAGGTCTTAGACAGGGATGTCCTCTCTCTCCTTATTTGTTTACTCTTGTGATGGAAGATTTTAATTTGATTTTTCAAAGAAGAATAAAGAATGAAGTTTTATTCAAATATCATTGGAGATGCAAGAAGCTTAAGCTTACTCATCTTTGCTTTGCGGATGATTTGATGATTTTTTGCCATGGAAATAAAGCTTCTGTCAGGGTGATTAAGGATAGCCTTGATGAATTTGCTAAGGTGGCTGGTCTTCACCCTAATTTTTCTAAAAGCCATATATTTTTTGGGAATGTCAAAGCCAATGTGAAAAAAAGTATTTTGGATACTTTGTCCTTTGTTGAAGGAAAGCTTCCAATGAGATATTTGGGGATTCCACTCATTTCTACTAGATTGTTTGTCAGAGATTGCAAAAGGCTTGTTGATAAAGTGAGATGCAGAATTAGTGACTGGAGGAATAAGTTTCTCTCTTATGCTGGTAGATTACAGCTCATTTCTTCTGTTTTGTGTTCTTTTCCAGTTTATTGGGCCTCTTGCTTGCTTATTCCGGCTGAAACAATAAAGGAGATTGAGAAGATGATGAAGAATTTCCTTTGGAATTGTGATGAGTCCAAGAAAGGGAGAGCTAAAGTTGCTTGGTCTACTGTTTGTAAGCCAGTGGATAATGGGGGTTTGGGTCTTAGGAATTTGAGAGCCTGGAATAAGGCTATTTTGTCCAGGAGAATTTGGATGATTGTTTCTAATTCTGAATCTTTATGGGTTAAATGGATCAACATCAACATTTTAAAGGGAAGGAGTTTTTGGGATGTTGAGAAAAATAATGATATGAGTTGGAGTTGGAGAAATTTGATCAGGTTGAGATCTAAGTTCAGAAATCATTTTGTGCATAAGATTGGGAATGGTGCTAGTACCTTCATGTGGTACGATGATTGGCATCAACTTGGTGCTTTTTCTCATGTTCTTTCTCCTAGAGAAATTTCAAGTGCTGGTTTCAGAATTACTGATAAAGTCAAAGATGTCATTGTTGATAGATCGTGGTTTTGGCCAACTGATTGGCTTGCTCTTATTCCTCAATTGAATGATTTTCAATTGCCGGTTCTTGATCCTTTGATGGCTGATAAAGTCTTATGGAGGAAAAGGGATGGAAATTTGGTGGATTTTGACATTCAGCAAGTTTGGAATGATATAAATGAATGTGGTTTGAAGGTTTCTTGGGTTCATCTTGTTTGGTTTAAGCAACGCATCCCAAGACATAGTTTCATCTTATGGCTTGCCATTCAGGAGAGATTAATGACCCAGGATAGAATGAGGTTTTGGGACAAGAATAAAAACCTCAATTGCACTCTTTGTAATATCCAGCCAGACTCGCACTCTCACTTATTTTTTGAATGCCCTTATTCTGCTTTTGTTTGGAAAGCTGTGAAAGATAGAGTGGAGATTAGAAGTGATTCCCATAGTTGGATTGAGTTGGTTGAAGAACTTCAGATTTTGTTCAAAGGAAAAAGCATTAGAGTTTTTATTATGAAAATTGCTTTTGCTGCTACTGTGTATCATGTTTGGAGAGAAAGAAATTTCAGACTCTTTAGAAAAGGAAAGACTGAGGAGATGAAAGTAGTTTTGAACATTTTTGAAGAAATTCGTCTTAAGCTTATCGGGCTCAAGGGTGGTTTTCTGGGTTTTGACAATGAAATCAAGAGGAAGTGGGGTATTCCCGTTGGTGAGAAGAATCATGATTGTTTTGATGATTAGTGGAATTGACGGAATTGGGTTTAGCAATTTTCCTTTAAAAATTGCTTTGCTTATCGGTTTTATCCCGATTTTCTTTAGGATTTTTCCTTTAGAAGTGGATTTAATAATGCAAATGGGTTTTATCCCCATTATTGGTTGTTTTACTCCTTGGCAACTTGGAGTCTCCACCACGGTGGGTGCCACTGCTAGTTCGATTAGCAAGTGGTGGGATATTTACCCGTCAATACACGGGATTGGGTACGTTAACCTTAGACTGTACCACCTTTGGGTTGGTTGTTTCCTTTGTAACTATAAAAACAACCACTTTTTGACTCTTTGGGGTTTCTTTTTGTTTTCTGCTATCCGGTTTATCCCGGATTTCATTGGAATTTTTTCCTTTGAAGTGGTTATTTCCATAATGCAAATGGGTTTGATCCCCGTTAGTTGGTGTTTTCTTCCTAGGCAACTAGGAATCTCCACTCTGGTGGGTGCCACTGTTAGTTCGATTACCAAGTGGTGGGATATTCACCCGGTAATACACGGGATTGGGTACGTTAACCTTAAACTGTACCATCTTTGGGTTGGTTGTTTCCTTTGTAACTATAAAAACAACCACTTTTTGACCCTTTGGGGTTTCTTTTTGCTTCTTGCTGTCTGGTTTATCCCAGATTTCATTGGAATTTTTTGCTTTGAAGTGGTTATTATCTTAATGCAAATGGGTTTGATCCCCGTTAGTTGGTGTCTTCTTCCTAGGCAACTAGGAATCTCCACTTTGGTGGGTGTCACTGCTAGTTCGATTAGCAAGTAGTGGGATATTTACCCGGTAATACACGGGATTGGGTACGTTAACCTTAGACTGTACCATCTTTAGGTTGGTTGTTTCCTTTGTAACTATAAAAACAACCACTTTTGGATCCTTTTACTCTTTTGGTTTTACCTAAAGATTATTGCCAACCGGCCTATCCCGGTTATCATTGGTATTTTTACCTTTGATGTGGATTTTGAAGGTTTCATTCTTAAGTTTTTTGGAATTAACCTTCAAGTGTATTTTTGGAATTACCCTAATAAAAAAGGAATTGACGGATTTTATCTTTTTGGTTCGATCACAAAGAAGATTGTTGATGGGTTTGATTTTTTTGGCCATCAAAACCTTGGTATTTTTTTGTCCATGGGCTCAACCTTCGAAAAAAGGTGGTTTACTCTTCAAGGGCATTTTTGAAATTCTTGGATTATTTGCTTGAATGGCTTCTTGAAGATTTTTTGGGATGGTTGTGGGAATGGCTTGGATATCACGGTTTTAGCAAATAATCGTCATCTTTTTGATTTAGCAAATAATGAAGATGACGATAATTTGAATTTTTTTTGGAAGTTGTGGGATTGGCTTGGATATCACGGTTTTAGCATCATACTTTCATGGAGTTTGAAGACTAATTCTTTGGCTATAGAGAATGTTGGAAGAAATTTGGAAGGCTTTGAAGATAACTTTTGGATTTGTCTAAATAGGGTTGTGATGGTTAATTGGTTTAATAATTGGAGCTTATGGGTTTTTCAAGTGAAGAATGGAATGAAGTTTAAAAGAAGTTTTTTGAAGAAGAAAGGAGAGGAATGCAAGAAGTATAAAGCTCAATGGTCAAAGTTGATTGCTAATATTGGTTTAAGATTGTATTGGAGTTTTTTGGAATTTATTGAAGATTTAATTGTGTTGGCCAATGATTCTCATGATTTGGAAGCTCCTTGTATGTATTGTGAGATTGGTATTTTTCAAACCTTGGATTATTTGTTCGAGTATGAGGCCAAATTTCTTTCTTTGGTTTGGTGGAGGATTAAAAGCTATATAAAGATTGAAGACTTTGAAGATTTTTTGAGATGGAAGATTTTAGCTTTTGACATCATTGATTATCCTTGTATAAGCTATGTTTGGTTTCACTCTTTGCTTTGGAATTGGACCTGGAAGTGGATTGGTTGGTGTTTCTTAGTTAGGGTCCTTAGTTTTTAAAATTATGTTTCTTGTCTAGCTTAGTTAGTTGTTAGTTAGGTCTCTTGTAGCTAGTTTTTTGGGCGGTTGCCCTCTTTCCTTTTGTAATGTTTTTTCTTTTTAATAAAATTTGCCAAGGGGTGTCCCCCTTTATCCAAAAAAAACTCTAAACCCTAAACGCCAAAAAACCCCACCCATGGAGTACTTTCTCTCTCTAGAATTTTTCTCTCTATGAAACTCTCTTGGAGATTAAGTGTTCTTGATTTTTTCTTGGGTTTCATGTGCTTAATCCTATTAATCTGTTGATTTTTGTTTGGTTTCGTTATGGGAAAGAATCATAGAAGACGTATTGGTTCAAAAAAATCAAAATCCAATGTCAAAGGGGTTGGTGTTCTTGGTTCTTTTCACTTTAAAGATAGTCCCAGTTCATCTTCGTCATCTTTTTGAGTTAGCAACCATAGCCAAAAAGGCTTATTCTTCACTGACTCTCCAATTAATATGGAGGCTGAAGTTTCTTCTACGCATGCAAATCCAGATCGAGATGAGAGAGCTGAAGAAGACGGTCTTATCCATGAGAATGGTGAAGCAACAGAATCTGAAAATGTTCTTGAAACTTGTAAATATCTCGTGAAAGCAGTTGGTGCTCTCGTTCATGGGGACGACCAATCAGTTTCTAGGACCATGAAGGGAGAGGTTTCAAAAAAAGTAGAAGATGATGATTCAGTGTCTTTCCGCCTCCGTTCCCGCCGTGGCAGTGCCACCTCTGCCTTGCTACTTTATTGGCGACGTTGAGCGGTCGTCTTCTTCGCAGCCTTCAGGCACCGCTACTCCGCCTGCTTCCTCTCCATGCGTCGGCCCTGTGAAAGTCAACCAACCCTATTTAGGAAAAGATTCCCTTGCATATGTTGAAAAATCCCCTGCGTCGATTCCTTCTTCCATGGGTACGGGTGGAATTCTTAGTGGGGAAAGTCAACAGTCGATGGATGGTGGTGGAGATAAAAATGTGATGGACCCTCCTGCACGTGATAGCCCCTCATGCACATTAATTGCCTTCCTTTATTAGAAGAACAAAATTCAAAAGATGGAGACATGGCATTTATTGCTGCCAATCCCGTTCCCTACCCTCCATCCAGGCGCGTGATGGACTCCCAAGTTGTCGATCAGCCTTATTTTGCAAACTCAAGCCCATTTAAAATTCATTATGAGCCCAATAGTCCAAGGCATGCTCATCCCCCTCGTTCCTTTGCTGAAATTTTAAAAGGTGGTAATGGCCCAACTCCTCCTGAGCCCAATTCAGATCTGTCACTTGCTGTCAACGTTGATCCTCAACTCAGTGATGCTGGAATTTATGATGGGGTATTTTCCAAGCCTATTTCTCTTAATTTCATCAATAATATTAATATCTTGGATGATGATCACATTTTAATTCCTTCGGAAATTATGGAAAAGAGTAGCACTCCTTTTGAAAAAACTTTATATGGATATTTTGTGGGGAAAAGACTTGATTTTCCGCTTGTCAAAGATCGGCTCCATGATCTTTGGAAGGAACATGGGATATGTGACATCTTTATTAATAATGATGACATGTTCTTTTTTAAATTTGATAACGACAAGGGTATGAATTACGTCCTTCAAAAGGGAATTTGGAAGATTAATGGAATCCCGCTCTTCCTTAGAAAATGGGACCCGGATGTTTTCATTGAAAAACCAACTCATGATCGGGTCCCCGTTTGGGTTAATATTTTTGGCATCCCCCTCCAACTCTTTAATAAAGATGGCTTAAGTCTTATTGCTAGTAAACTCGGAAAAGCCTTTGGAGGTTGACTCTTACACCTCCACCATGTGTGAGCGGGCTACGGGTAGAGCGGTTTATGCTCGTATTCTCATTGAAATGTTGGCTAATGATCCTTGGGCAAATGATATAAAAATCAAAGCAATCACGACTAAAGGTGCTACATCTACCACCCTTAAAGTGGAGTACTCTTGGAACCCAAAGAGATGCGACCATTGCAAAATTTTTGGTCACGATCTTGCCAAATGCCCCATTCACTCGACTTGCACTCCCGTTCAAAAGACGGCTACGCCCACCCCGAAATAAGTTGACAAAGAAGGTTTCCAAATGGTTACAAGGAGAACTAGAGCTATCCCTTTATCTAAAAAGAAGGTTCAAGTTGACAACCGTAAAGGTAAAGGGTCTGCTATAAAGATCGCTCAAGTATACAAGCCAATCATTCGTGATGTGAAGAAGAAGAAAGTGTCTTCCAACATGTTTGATGCTCTCTCGCATCAAAGAGTTGATGATATTGAAGCTGGTTATAGTATACCTCCTGTCATCCACTCCAGAGATTTCTCCCTAGTTCCCGATACCCAGCCGAGCTCCTCTCATGGTGGCCATCTCTATACTCCAGTTGATATGGGTTGACGTTTCTAGGTCTCTTTTTAGCATGTTGTATTGTTTGTTTCTGCTTTGGGCCATGTCCCTTAGCTTGAGCTCTTTTTTTTCTTGGGCGTTTGCCCTCCTTCTTTGTAATTATTTTTTTTATTAATAATATTTGCCAAGGGTAATCCCTTTTATCCAAAAAAAAAAACCCTAAACTCTAAATCTTAAACCCATGGAGTACTTTCTCTCTCTAGAATTTTTCTCTCTAGGAAACTTTCTTGGAGATTAAGTGTTCTTGATTTTTCTTGGGTTTCTTGTGCTTAATCCTATTAATCTGTTGTTTTTAGTTGGTTTTCGTTATGGGGAGGTTGATGTTCTTGGTTCTTTTCACTTTGAAGATAGCCCTAGTTCATCTTCGTCTTCCTTCTGTGTTAGCAACCACAAGCAAAAAGGCTTATTCTTCACTGATTCTCCAATTAATATGGAGGCAGAAAACCCCTCAATGCATGCAAGTCCAGATCTAGATAAGGGATATGAAGAAGTTGGTCATGTTCACGAGAATAGTGTAGCAACAGAATCCATAAATAATATTAAACGTTTTTTTGTTGCTTCTGGTGAACGTTTGGAAGGGACTGAAGACCTTCTCCAAGACAATGTTGAAGCTCG